TGTTTGTGTTTCTGTTTGTGTATCTCCCACGTTGTTTGTGTTTGTGTTTCTCCCACGTTGTTTGTGTTTGTGTATCTCCCACGTTGTTTGTGTTTATGTTTCTGTTTGTGTATCTCCCACGTTGTTTGTGTTTGTGTTTCTGTTTGTGTATCTCCCACGTTGTTTGTGTTTGTGTATCTCCCACGTTGTTTGTGTTTGTGTTTCTGTTTGTGTATCTCCCACGTTGTTTGTGTTTGTGTATCTCCCACGTTGCGTGTTCCCAGCTGGTGGTGGTGTGGAGCACGTCGCGTGTGGCGCGCCACAGAGAGATGTCCGTCATGGCCAAAGCTCACACCGACGTGGACATTTCTCGCATCCTTGTGGCCGGATTTGACGACACCAAGTGAGTAATGGAGAGAGACATTCCTACACACACACACACACACACACACACACACAGACCCCAATGGTTCACATGTGCTTCAATAGCGTTCTTTGCTTTGATCACACTGATGTGTAGACCGTTACAAGCATGTGTAGACAGTTCCCAGAATGTGTAGACAGTTACCAGAATGTGTAGACAGTTACCAGAATGTGTAGACAGTTACCAGAATGTGTAGACAGTTACAAGAATGTGTAGACAGTTACACAAAGTTACAAGAGCGCGCGTTTCTCCCCCCAGAATGGTGTCTTGTGGCCGGGACAACGTGCGTCTGTGGAGGGTGAGGGAGGGAGCCCTGCGGTCAGCGCCGGTCAGTCTAGGGGAGTACCACGCCATGGAGTTCACCGACGTCTGCTTCGAGGCGTGCGCTCACATGGACACTGAGCCAGAGAACAGGCTGTTGTGAGTAGATGGGCTTCTTTGTGAGCAGTTGTGAGTAGATGGGCTTTTTTGTGAACAGTTGTGAGGGGCAGTTGTGAGTAGATGGGCTTTTTTGTGGGCAGTTGTGAGTAGATGGGCTTTTTTGTGGGCAGTTGTGAGTAGATGGGCTTTTTTGTGAGCAGTTGTGAGGGGCAGTTGTGAGTAGATGGGCTTTTTTGTGGGCAGTTGTGAGTAGATGGGCTTCTTTGTGGGCAGTTGTGAGTAGATGGGCTTCTTTGTGAGCAGTTGTGAATAGATGGGCTTCTTTGTGGGCAGTCGGATTTGCTCCGGTTCCTCGGTTGTCCGAAAGTAGGGTTGTGTTGATTGAGTGAGACTTTATCATTGGTTAGAAGAGGTTGCCATATTTTGAGCTAACTCTTCTCTGCCAGAATTGTTCTCCTTTGAACAAACTAAACCATTCTTTCCCCTAAGTCACTGGTGACCAAACACAGCAGATCTTGATTGACCCATGTAAGTCGCTGGTGACCAGACACAGCAGATCTTGATTGACCCATGTAAGTCGCTGGTGACCAGACACAGCAGATCTTGATTGACCCATGTAAGTCGCTGGTGACCAGACACAGCAGATCTTGATTGACCCATGTAAGTCGCTGGTGACCAGACACAGCAGATCTTGATTGACCCATGTATGTTGCTGATCCGTGCTGTTTTGTTTGTCCAGCTATGCCTGCACCAAGTCTGGTCACATCTTTGAGATGGACTACAACAAGCTGACCGTACAGCACGTGCGGAGACTTCTGCCCAGCAAGAGTGGCGTGGGCCGGGGGTCCAAGATGAAAGATTCTGGAGAAGCAGGTAAAGGGAAAGATGTTGTGTGCTTAGAATCTCATAGAGGAACTAAGCTGTTCTCTTCAATTCTGTCAAATTACTTTAAAAAGAAAAAAGACTTTATTTTGTTCTTTTACGTGAGCTTCCATACCTTTCGCCTTTTGCTTGGAGTTGATTCTCCATTGGGACACTTTGTCTTTGGTACACCAGTTTTGATTTGAATTCCCACGCCAGGAAGATATTTGGTAGAGTGTCCACTGTTATCTGCTGTCAGGATGGAAGCAGCTCAATCCTTAGTTGATCGAAACTTTTCTGTCTGTCGTTTACAATAAACAATCAATTGGACTCTGTGACCAGACGCTAGTCTTGGACTTTTTGAATGGGTTGTTCACCATATTGGAATACTTATGCCTCACCATAAAATGTTCACCATATTGGAATACTTATGCCTCACCATAAAATGTTCACCATATTGGAATACTTATGTCTCACCATAAAATGTTCACCATATTGGAATACTTATGTCTCACCATAAAATTTTCACCATATTGGAATATTTATGTCTCACCATAAAATGTTCACCATATTGGAATACTTATGTCTCACCATAAAATGTTCACCATATTGGAATACTTATGTCTCACCATAAAATGTTCACCATATTGGAATACTTATGTCTCACCATAAAAGGTTCACCATATTGGAACATGTGAGAACGACCAATCTATGGATAGATAAACCTGTGTTTGTGTCCTCGCTGCGACAGATCGCAGTCTGTCCCTCACCTCCATGTTTGTGTTGCGGATAGATGGATAAATGACCCGTGTATTTGTGTTATGGATAAATGACCCCTGTATTTGTGTTATGGATAAATGACCCGTGTATTTGTGTTCTGGATAAATGACCCGTGTATTTGTGTTATGGATAAATGACCCCTGTATTTGTGTTATGGATAAATGACCCGTGTATTTGTGTTATGGATAAATGACCCCTGTATTTGTGTTATGGATAAATGACCCGTGTATTTGTGTTATGGATAAATGACCCCTGTATTTGTGTTATGGATAAATGACCCGTGTATTTGTGTCCTCGTTGCGACAGGTGGCAGTCTGTCCCTCACCTCCATGCATCTCAACGACACGTTCTGCGTGACGGGCTCAGACGACGGCTACCTCCGGCTGTGGCCGCTCGACTTCGCTCACGTCTACCTGGAGGCCGGTGAGTTCTCTCCCCTGTCACTTCTCGACTCGCAAACCCTGACGCTGTGACCTTTGTCCCTTGGTCCGTCTGTCTGTATGTCCCTCTCTCGCTCTATCTCGTGCTCTGTCTCGCTCATTTCTCTCCCCCTCTCCTTTTCCACTCTCAGTCTCTCCCCATCTCCCCCATCCCTCTTCCAGCCTCTCCGGTGTCTTTAACAATACGTGTACAACTCAAATGTATTTATGACTGACTTGTCTGCCGTGGAATTATGGGTAGTGGAATTATGGGTAACTCGTTGTCTTCCTCAGAGCATGAGGGCCCCGTCACTGCGTCGCGTCTGTCAGCTGATGGCCTCAAGATTCTGGCTGGCACTTCCAAGGTGAGTCTACGTCTGTGAAAGGTGTTCTCGTGAACTTTGACAATTTGTCACTCGGCGGCCGACTCTGTGTGTCCAACAAATTAGGTTAAACAAGTTTATTGAAAATAATGCAATTTTTTCCTTGTTATCTTTCCGAATTGCTCTGAATGTAGAGAATGTTCTTTCTACTTATCAATATCACCAATTGTGGTTTGTAAGTCAGTCAGTGAAGGGCCGTTCAATGAAGTATTGTGGTTGGTTAGTCAGTCAGTGAAGGGCCGTCCAATGAAGTATTGTGGTTGGTTAGTCAGTCAGTGAAGGGCCGTCCAATGAAGTC